CCCGGGGCTGGGGCTTCCCGTGAGCTTCCGCCCCGCTTTCCTTGGGAAATCTCCTCTCCTTTTTTAATCATTCTTTTTAGTTGAAACTCCTGCTTTCGGCCCAAATCAAGACTTTACCAAGGAGCCGGAGCAGCCTTCCCACGGCTTAGCAGGTAAAGCCGGGCCCGGGAGACTTGGGAGAGCAGGGGGGTGGCAGGGAGACGCCAGGGGGATGAAGTTGTCCGCGGTGATGGATGCGCCCGGGCAGCTTTCCCGGGAATCACCGCCAGGCTGGCTCAGCAATCATGGAGCGTGCGGGGAAGACCCCGGGGAAGGAACCCAAGGGGATCCCTTGGGAAAGGGAGAGGGGACAGAGTGTCACTGGTCACGAACACTTAGCATCTGAAGAAGCAACTTCCCTAAGCAGAAAATCTGCCTCTGGTTAAGAGCACTTCTTGCAGAAATCAAACGTCACGGCAGAGCTGAAGTGCTGTTTTTACCACCGGGTTGCCAGGGTTTTCAAAATGCACGGTAGCATCCTTCCCAGCAGAAAACACGGAGAGGGTTTGGACAACAAAAGCTCTGGAGCGCAAAGGCAGGAGCGTGTGGTGCTTGGGATATTGCGTCAGGGAAGTTGCACATGAGCAAAACTTGTGCCAAGGAAAAGGTCAGTGCTAGCATCAACCGGTTCAAACCACACGCTAGTTGGAAGAGCAGTGGGAATAAGGTATAAAGGATGTTACACTGTATACAAATTTCCCAAATGGTCTGAGAGTTCAGCTCAGGGATACAGTTCACTGGATGATTAAACAGTTTTGTGGGAAAACCAAGGTAGAACCGGCCATAAAGAACACATCTGTCAACTGTTGGCTAGAGAAAGAGCCAGGGCCAGGGACTTCTTGTCTAAACGAATGGTTGTTTGGAGCTCCAGCTACTTCCATGTCATTTGGATAAACAAAAAAATGCTAAATATTTGTAGTGGTGATGACCAGATAAAAGGATCCGGTCCATAACCAAACTGTTGTGGTCAGTAGCAGATGTAAGAGCATTATCCCAACAGTTCACTAAATGCATTGCAGGTGGCCCCCTTCCATGTTTACCTCACGATTTCTGAACTTTAGTAATGGTTTGGCTATAGTAAGCTGAAACTACAGAAATGTCACAAAGAAAGAATTTACTGGTGAACATAACAAAACACTGTGTTCTTTAGTTAATGTAGTTATGTTATATTACAGTGCCTTCCATGTAATACAACTGGTCTTGTCTCATATATAGAATTTGTATTAAAATATTGCTCAGTATTTTCAACCCTGACACATAAAAGTCAATGGATATTTTGGCATTGATTAACTTTCAGTTGGATTAAATTTACTCTTTTTTGTTTTGTTTTGTTTTGTTTTACTGTTTTAATGCAATGAGCATTCAGGATTTGTTTTGTTTCCAGGGGAGGGATTTCGCTGTTTTATGGCAATATAAAGACATAATGTAGAGTTCGATAAATCTTTTTATTTGCAGCTTCCTTGTTTTTGTTATCTGTTGAAATCAGGTTTTTCAGGATGGGGCTGGGATAGGGACTTCCTTATTTGTTGAATGCTGAATGTAATATAACCTCCATCCTTGTTTAAGTCTTCAGGGCAATTTAGAATATTGACAAAGAATCTCTATCTCTGCTGATAGTCTTGGTGTTTCTGACAAATAAAAATGCTCCATCAGTTATTTTATGCCTCAGCTCAAAGCCTATCAGTGACTTTGAACCAGAAATTAATACATATATAGACAGATATAGATTTATATAATGTTTCAGAACTTTTTTTGTGGCTCTCCTGGATTTATCTTGAGGAGATCACTCTGCAATAATTAGAAAATTTGCCTTTTTTGTTGTTAGTGACATTACTCCAGTCATTATAGCATACATTGAAGGCATAATCTAACAGTTACTTGCACACAGATACTCAAAACTAAGAGAGCCCTTTTTAATCTATTTTGTTGTAATACCTGATTGAAAACATTTTGGGAAAGTTGTATGAACATTGCTCACATGTTAAAAAAGCTTTTAACTCACTGTATTTTATTTGGAATTCTTCTATTATAGAGTTTTTAGTCTTAGTGCTCTTGTAGCTTGTTTTTTATGAAAGCAAACGTGGTTCTGACTGAAGGACTAAGATTGGAGAATTGAAGTCCTGTTCCCTGTGAAAACCAGGCGGCTTAATAAAGCCATGTTTTATTATTGTGACATGTATAGAAAGTAGGAGTGGGTCAGCCGGATACTATGATAAAGACCTGCAAAGAGCATCATATTGACTGGATAAAAATGTAACATTTTAGAAACAGAACACCTGGGAAGATGGCCCAGAAAGAAAGAGAAACCAGCGGGAGCTCTATCAATGACGAGCAAGAACAGAGCAGCAATCATGTTATTACAATTGTCTTCCTGGCTCTCCTCATTGACTTGTTGGGATTCGCTCTCATCTTGCCACTGTTTCCTTCCATCCTTGATTATTACAACAAGACTGAGGTAAGTAAAAGAGAAAGCCTGCTGGAAATGCTGGTCATTTAAGATGAGAGAAAAATCCCTTTTCATGGGCAAACCAAATAGGTGTGGGCAGAATAACAATACCCAGCACATTTAAATTGTTCATGGACTTAATTTGTTTGAGAACTTACATGAGACTCTTCTGTCTTGCTGCTTCATTAAAATGAGGAATTTGGGAGAGGGAGGAAATCCAGATATTTCATAGTCCTTGTAATAATTACTGCCCCTGTCTCTTCCTTTGCATTTGGTCAAATGTTGCAGTGATTTTTGTCTCATAAAGATGGTGATTCCGTATAACTAAGGTGAATTGCTGTTGTGAAGCTGAGTTTCAGTTCTGAAAAGTGGGATAGAGGAGTTCTGGCTGAGGGAATTACATTCCCCCACACTCATTGAGCCAAGAAGTAGAATTTAGTTCTTTGTGGGTTTCGCTGCTGCTGCTGCTACATGTGAGTTGCTGCGATGCAGAGAGAAGGGCAGGAGTAAAGCCAGCATCTTGGTGACTTGTGCTGATGTCGTGGGCAAAATGGACTAAACAAGAGTCCATAGTAGATCTGGATACTGGAGTTTATTTAAGAACTAGTAAGATAAAAGTTGTAATTCTTCTTGATTATTTCACCTACTCACTAACTGACTCCCACCCGCAGCATCTCATTCGCTAAGCCTACCTTTCCCAGCAGAGAACGACTGCAGATCTAGGAAGGTTCTCCAGAAATTCATGCTGGTTTCCTGCCGTTCAGCTGCTCACAGCTACCAGCCTCTCAGGTGCTCCTGAAGAAGATGAATTTGTCAGGAGGAAATTATTTCTGCAGTTCACACCTCCCTCACACTCTTTTCCAGCCCTACTCTGCCTTCTCTACCTACTCCAAAGAATCACAGAATGATTGAGGTTGGAAGGGACCTCTGGAGATCATCTAGTCCAACCCCTCCCTGCTAAATCAGGGTCACCTAGACACAGTGCCTAGTTCACTAGAGTCTAATTCTTTTTTATTTTCAAAAGCATAGCAAAACTGTCCTCCTACTTCTATTTAGCAGCTATCTCTTTTGCAGGATGGATTCTATTTGTCACTGCAACGTGGTGTGGATTGGTTTGCCGTGATGGTTGGGATGCCTCCAGAGCGGAAATACAACAGTGTCTTGTTTGGAGGTATGGAGAGTAAACAAAGAAACAAACTGTTTGGGGAAAAATCCTCAAATTCTGTTTTTTTTTCCAGTTATTTGCTATGTTGATATGAGGAATGATGTTCTATCACGAGGAACAAGGCTAGGAGGAATTTGACAAATATAAAAATGACCTAATTAGGCTAGAAGGAACAGGCCCACAGGA